GTGTAATTAATGTTATTAGCTGCATTGCTTATAGTAAACTAAACACGTGATTGTTCTCTCTAGTGGACTTTCTACTGATAATATAAGTAGCATCATTCCATCTGTTTATTTCAGGCCAGATCGTATTCGAATGTAGACATGCAATAAAGTCCCACTGATAGATTGAGTGCCTTCTGTTGAAACCTGTCAGAAATATTATGGCCCCTTGCCTTCAAAAGGGGAAGAGGCCGGGATACAATCCCCCCCCCCGCCCTCTTCTCCTTAACTTAGGTTTTCTGAGGATTTCTCTCCTGAGTGTGGCGCGATCGAGCACAATTTTGTGCGGCCTCTGGGGCATGCATTATGCGTGTATCAGCACAAAAGGCGTTTATCTAGCGTTTCCGACTTTTGAGAAGAGACCGCTTTTAGGAACTCTGCATGGCCATCTGCTATGGATCGCCGTGGTGGGTCGTTTCGATGGCGCAGGCAGCGGGCGGCAACCGACGAATCCGCCGATCGCACGCGGCGCATTGTGCTACATAAACGGAGTCCTATGTCATACATATGCTCTCAAAACACACAAAACGATGTATCAGGTATCGAGGTAATCAAAATGAAAGAAGGGCCGGACTAACCAATCCGGCATTGACGGGGGGGGGGGGGCTGAGTTAAGCCTTCCTCCCTGTCCAACATTTGCAATAATTGCAACATACATTGCAATTTCGCTACGAAATGTTTAGTAACTGTTGCTTGATGAGTTATATGCATCATGCCAAAATTATTATGCTACCATGACAGATCAAGCGTGGAAGACGTCAAAGTGACGCCATATTTGCCAATTTGTTTTACAAAAGCGCATAGCCGTTGACAAATTGACACCGAAGCCAAACGAAAGATCGTGTCTTATATCTTTTAACGGGGCATGTGAGCCAATCAGTCCATCATCCATATCCCTCGTTATGTCTTTTTCAACATTGCCCACTGCAAATTTTGGTATGTCAAGTAACAAAAATATCGATGAAAGTACGCTCAATTTGTTTGGCCTCAGACTAAAGATCATGAGAGCATGAAATTCAAAACCCAAGCCAGAGCCAGAGCCAATCAGCACGAAGAGAACTACTATAACAGAAAACAAGACCCGGTGCCAGGCATCACCCGGTACATGCCAAATGCTCGTTGCTCATTGACCTTAAGCCCGCTGCTCCGGTCACTAGTGCGCTATGACCTGCGTTATAACCACCGGAATTTTGGGATGGGTAGCAAGTGATACTTTATTGCCAATGAACTTAAGTGCAAATGGAACTCCCGAGACGAAAATGATTGATTTTGATGACGCATTGTATTTCATTTATCGTTGTATTGTGAGGTTCATCGCATTCAGAGCTATATTGCACCCATATCTGAAAGATTTGGCTTCAGGTGTCAATTTAGAATGCTATGAATTTCATCGGCGACAGAAAAAAAACCTTTTTTCACCACCTCTAAGCAAGACTCTCAATTTCGCAAGGTACCCAGGTAGCAAGTAGCTGTGCTTCGGTGGGGCAGATTTTCATAGCAGCGCAGCCTGACCTGCGCCCCTCCAGACTAGGTCCCATTTTTGAAACTGATGAGTTACGTTACTGCCTAGGTAGAATCCAGCTTGGGCGGAGCTCGGGCTGGTTGCCCAGTCGTATTCGAATTCTAGCGAATCGTTTGTCAGCAGCCGCTTTGCGGTTACATTCATGTAGACGGTGTTGTGAGTATTGTGGGTGTTGTGTTGAGGTGGGAAACCAAGTCAAAGTGCGCTGGGCCGTACAGACATCCAGTGAGGCTGACCGCATGCTTGTTGGAACACTCGTTGGTAACATGTAGCAAGACAAGGTGAGTTCAGAAATCCTACTTGAACCGTGGATAGAAAAACACTGGGTTTGCGTGATCAGTTTCCCTGTAAGTTCTAAAATATAGCCTATCAAATTGCCCTCATTGCCCAATGGTGGTTAGGAATCGAAAGGTAACTTGGCCTGTCGATCCCGGAAATTAAAGATCCCGTCCAGGTAACTGAACAATCAAATTCAGGCGATGTGATCGGTGTGGAATGTCGTGCTTGGTGCTGATCCAGCGTGAGTCGAGCCTAGATTCAAACTGCTTATCTGAGACTGACGGCACTGTTGCCGGTGGGAGAGAGGTTCAATCACTTGCGACCTGGAAGCTCGATGAGTTCTGACGGACGGAGGTCCTGGTTTGGGGGTTTGTCAGGTTTCAATGACGTCCCATTGTCATTTCCGAGCCCCGTCCTGTCAAGAGATCGCCCACCGGCAAGGACATGCGGCCGTGAAACATATGGAACGCCACAAATATTCTCCCCCGCGACGCCGCTCGTACAGCGGAGGCAGGAGAAGTAGCCTCTCACGACGTAGCCTGCGCCTTACTTCTTGGACAAGGCGCGTAGCTCATCATTTAGCCCACTGCAGATGCTCCTGCTCCAACCTGCCGACCGGGTTCCAGATCACGATGCTCTACCCCAGAGTAGTTGCGCCAAAACGGACATGTCATTGTCCTGCGCGGCAGTGTCAGCGTGAAAACGTCTTCGATACCTTTCAGGTACATTCTCCAGTGTTGTATGACTTTCAGAAAAACACATAGACTATAAGGGCCCAGGCCGTGTTTAAGCCTGTTCAGGGCAGGAGTTACGTCCAAAGTGAAGTAGCACATTGTCAGAGGCTTCAACCCGTATCTTATCCCTTCCAATTACCTGTACATCAGCGAGGTGAGATTAGTTCACAACACCGGAACGGTAAAGCAGTTTTGGCTTTATCCGTTATCAAAAACATTAAGTCAAAATATGGACATTGCGCTGAGTGCATTTCCAGCTCCATGTGGTATACATGGATAGCAGACCAAACTAGACTGAGCCCCACATGGGCTGAAATGGGCTGACATGGACGTCCTGTTTACGCTAGCAGATGTCCCAAGAGTGACCGCAAGAAATAGACGTCACTCGAATGGAAAATTCGCCGAAAAACTGTATCGTTGTTGTGCTGTAACGTGGATCGGCTAGTTATTGAGACAACTAATGCTAATGCCGGCTATAAATGATAGTCGGCATTGGCGGCCAGACGTGTGCTGTCTGTGGTTGCGACCGCTATTTTGCCTCTCTTGCTTACTTCTGCTAGTAACTAACATGAGCTGCCCTTGGAATTTGCAGCCTCGTTCCTTATTTTGGTTTTTGCTTTCACCTCTTAGCAGAGTGCCGCTGCTGGCGTTCAATATCTTTAGCGTTAACACGAAGTTCAGTGTCGCTGGAATATCGGGATGGGCACTCCTGGTCGTCCATTAATGGGTGGCGGTTAGAAAAAAATGGTCATCCCTGCTTTACGTAGCCCGAGCCCAGCTGGCGCCCACCACGTACCCTGCTCTGTTGTGGAGGCTCCTTTCTGGGCCCGTCCCTGACAGGTCCTTGCACCCAGCTGTTATACAGCGTTTCCTGCAGACGGAGCCAGGCGGAGCCCAGCTGTAGATCAGCGTCCACTCAAGCCACACCGATACCCTGATATTTATCCAGCATGTGCCGGACTGGTGCCAGCCAGGCCGCGGGCAGACAGCCTGGCTATGGCCCAGCCACGGCCAATCAGAAAAATGCTGCAAAGGCCACCTGACCCCGTGCCGGGCATCCTGCACCAGCCCACTGTCTGCCTGCCTGGGGTCCGGCCTGGGCCGCGATTAAGTGATGACTGGGTAGCCGGCCGGCTGACCTGTTATCTTCGAAATTTAGGCACTAAAGAAATAAGCCAACAAAATGCGGTCATCGCGCGTGACCTTTAGGGCAGCTCCAATGCCGCGCATCTCGCTGGCGCCATCGGTGACGACCCGGAGCTGCTCCGAAGAACGGCGCATCACCACGGAACGACGCCCGAGAGCGGCCTTCTGAGCCGTGGTGAAGACGGCAGGCAGCTGGTCACCGGACCAGCGGATGCGACCGGAGGATGCTCGACCAGCACAGCAGACTGTGTCAGGGGTCGGGGTAACAAGACCGCGGCACCCTCTGTCACGCAGCCGAGATTCTGCAGGCCCCGACAAAGCTTCGTAGACTTTTCGCGGCGCGCGGACGCTCACGAGAGTGTGGAGAAACGATTAGAGTTGGCAAAGACCCCGCCATCAGACCAGATCCATCTGAGTGTGGTGACTGGAAGAGGAGAGACGACAGCTTAAACGGGTGACAGATGCAGGTCGACCGATCAGGTCCGGGGGCTCGGAACCTCGTCGGACTAGATCTGGCAATCCCAATTTATTATCACTACCAGGATGCCCGGGCGCATTCGCGTCTTCAAGGCAGTACATTACGGGCTTGTAATACTCGTTTTCGGGCACTTCTTAGACGCTGTGAAAATTCATAAAATCTACATTTTCTGTAACGTTTATTTCAAGACAATTTGTTAGCAGGCCGCCTAGCCATTACCATATAGTCATATATCATCATACAGCCATATGATACTCACACTCGGGGTTGACACAAATAAGGCTGATCACATATGCTAATACCAGCCCGCATCACTGCACCATGTTTTGAATGAGGGAGACTTTCGCTCCAATAACTGTCAAAAAATAGACTTTTGGCGGCATTGGCTAACATTTTATAACATTAGTTCCGTCACTGGACATTTCGGACTTAGCGGTCCAGATACGGCTTATTTCAGTGACCAAAAGTGTAAACGGATCGTCAGACTGGTTGCAGAGAAAAATTACGGTGTACAATTAAGAAGGCGGCAGCGATTATTTTCGGTGTTAAGGACACCATGAATTACATCTACGAAGTGCATCTAAATAAGCTTTGCATCTAGAAAAGGCAGATGCTACGAAAATCGCGGCGTGTGGCTGCTGAAAGAGGCGAAAATAACCCGGATCGTCACCACACACGCTGGGTAGTGAGCAATGGCCTTTCGGCGGGTCTGGCGAGGAAACAGATGGCAGCAGTGTCGTTTTGTTTACAACGTGAATGTGGTGCGGCGTTGGTAGAAGCAGTGCTGGCCAGAATCACGGCGGTACCGAGTCACAAGATGTATATTCAAGGAATTCCGTCAATGACAAAAATAAAAGGAATCAATCATTCGTGCAGTCAAAACGCAAGCATATAAGGCAAACATTATATTACACGCATCATCATGTCCGTGCTAGAGACGACGCTGCACAGTAGTACACAGATCGGTGCTCCACCGTGACAGACAGTGAAGGGTCCGCCCAGCCAAGACAGCGCAGACAGCAGCCAAGCCAACGGCACGTCACTGGTTCTCGACGCTGGACGACTGTAGCACTTCGTCGGCCGGCCGCCGGCTCCCCGGCTGCCGCTCTGGGCTGTCGCGGTCGTCGACCGGGTCTGCCTTGCCCGTGTCGACGGCGGCCGGCGGCCTGTTCTCCTGGTCCTCCTCCATCTGCAGGTGGCGTCGCAGCGTGCAGCGCATGGTCTCGGCCGCCTGCTCGGTCATGGCCCGCACCTTGCGTGTCACCTCCTCCAGGTCGTCCTCGACGGCACGCCGGAACTCGAGCGCCAGCGCCGCGCCCTCGGCCACCTCCCGACGCCTGCGGGCGAGCGGACGGCGTCAGGCACGAGCGCGCAGGGCGTGTCCTCCCGCACACTCGGCGCGGGGATCCCTAGCACCCAGCCGGGTCGGCGCTGCACGCCAGGCGTGAAATTAACAGCCAGGGCCCCTCGGGCGGCTCGTCGCCGTTCATCCCTGGCCGCGCCTCCCCCTTGGTCATATGACTGCCCGCTGACTTATAACCCAGCTGTTTAGCCCCGCAGTGTCAATGTTCATCCCTGCTTAGCAAAGCAGCAGCACTTGCTCGCATCGGACCACCCTGTTTTTTATGGGTACAGCACTGCGCATCCTGACACCACCGTTACAAATGCACTGAAGTCTGACCCCAACCTGTTTCTCACAGCTGCATCCCAGCTCACCTCCGCTCCAGCTCCTTCTCGCGGGTCTTGGTGTCCTCGATGAGCTGGCGGGAGAGCGCATCGCAGCGGGCGCTCAGACCGGCCACGTCCAGCTGCTGGATCTCCTGGGTCACCTCCGTCAGCCGACCCTCCATCTGTCCGGACGGCGCGCGAGGTTACACGAGATCAACACCATCTCAGACCCCGGCGCCTTGGATACCGCGTAAAGTCCACGTTTTTGTTGTCAGAGCTTAATCTAATGAATGGTTTGCTGATGTGGCGTCGGGACCGCAGTCCACGCGTAATAGCTTGCTGTACTTACGCTGACGCCGACACCCCCACTGCGGCTGGCATGATCGGTACTGACAGCGGATAACAGTCGCAGCGTTAACCATCGTATCACCGTGCAAACAGCTGTGTTGTACTCATTAACCTGTGTTTGTTTTACTCTCATTTGCTCTCATAACCACAACATGTGCTCATAACTTATGCTCAATAACATAACCCTTGCTTCATGAAAACATCGCAGCTTTCCGTACAAGTATTTACGATTTTTACGTCATCAGAAAAAAAAACACCATGCCGGTCATCGCCAAAGCATTACCCCAACAGCAGTCTTTCTCCAAAACAGGCCCTTCTTGCCCAGCGGCCTCTCCAGAACACACACGCCCCAGTGCCTAACCGGACGCCGGCGGCGGGCCATGGGGCACGGCCGGACCGCTCACCTCGGCGATGGCCGTGTCGAGCTGGGCGTGCTGCTGCTCCAGCTGGGCCCGCTCGGCCGCCTCCTCCTCCTCCAGACGGCGCAGGCGCGACTCCAGGTGGAAGTGCTCCTGGCGCTCCTTCTCCAGACCGCCGCGCAGGTCGCGCGCCACTTTCTCCTGAGCGGGGAGGAGGGCGGCGTCAGCGGTGGGCGCTGACGGGCGCCGTGCGCGGCGGCGGAGACACGCGACCGGGTTAATAGCCAGAGCCTGCTGGATCGGACGCATGGCATGTATGGCACATGGTGTGTTCCAAGGGCGTGCGATCCGGCCCCGCGCAGCAGGACACCGGAAGACGTCTGTGATTGTCCTGTTCGCCCGGCCAACTGGCGCAATCGCTGACTAGAAACCAACACGTAAGCGAGCGCTCGACATCATCCGCAACAAAGGCCGTTTGCGCTTGTTACCCGTTACTCGCGATAGCTTCTCAGTTGGCGTATACCAGTCGGCACCAATCATCATGTAGTGCCACCAGCTGTTGCTGCCTTTTCGACCGACAGTGTGGCCTATCACTGACAGGTTGCTGCGCTCCGACCTCTACCAGATCCTCACGGCCTGAGCCGGCCTCACCTGCTGCAGGGCGGTGGTCATGAGCCGCTCCTGCTCGTGGCGGGCCGCGCGCTCGGCCGCCTCGGCGGCGCGCTCGGCCACCGCCAGATCCTGCAGCTGCTGCTCGGGCGTCCCGCGCAGGCGCAGCTGCAGCCCGTCGACGGCCGGGAGTCGGGCCGACAGCGAGCTCAGTTCGGCGTTCAGCTGGCGCGCCGCCGCCTCCAGCTGCGCCTGCGACCGGCTCAGCTCGATCTCCAGCGCGTCGTTGCGCTCCGTGGTCTGGCGGCGAGGAGGATCGAGATCCGTCAGATCCGTCAGGTCCGATTCGTCGAGGATCCGTCAGATGGCCAGGCGGCCGCGCAGGATCGAGAGGCGGCAACCGAGAATCAAGTGTAGGAGCGCGAGATCGGCTAGCGGGGAACGCACCGAGCACGTCCACCATTTCGTCAGACACAAACCGGTGGAACACGTCACGCGGGCCCGGCCGCCACTGGCCTACAGGGCGGACCGGCGGCCAGCTCACCGGATCACCGTCACCGGACCTGTCAGCGGGCCGGCCGGCGGCGGACACCCCACCTGCGCGATCTCCTCCTGGCAGCCGTCCATCTGCTTCTGCAGGTCGGTCCGCTGCTGCGCGATCCTGGCCACGTCGTCGGCCGACATCTCCTGCTGACTGAGCTCCACCTTCAGCGCCTGCACCTGCTCACCCACCAGCTGCGGACGACCGGGGCGGGCTTTAAGGCGCCGCCGAGCTCAGCGGAGGCGGGCGTCACCCGCCGGAAGGCATGGGACGGCACGAGACCTGCTCACCCATCAGCTGGATACGACGCGTGAGGTGGCGCGCCTCCAGTGTGAATGAGCAGGCATGTCAGGCGACAACATACGCATGCCACCCGACGCGTGCTCAAGTGGCTCCAGGGACGCTCAGAAGGCTCTAAGGACGACCACCAGGGACAGTGAATGGCAATGCTGCTGGGACAACCGGCATGATCAATGTACAACGAGAGCGCCATTGAGTGGCTCACGCACATCCAGTCGGGATTTCATGCCGCTGTACGTATACGTTGGTGGTCATGCTACTACTGTCCCTCCAGACTCCGCTCAGGCGCCCACCAACACTGCGACCCATCGTGGCTTCACTCCACCGAGGCCGACCGCCGCTGCGGCCTCCACCGGCCGGTCAGCCGCCGCCGTCGCTCACCCGGACCAGCTCGGCGCGCTGGTCGCGCTGCTGCTCGAGCCGGCGCAGCTGCCGGCCGCGCTCCGCCTGCTCCTCCTGCCGGCTGGCCACATACTCGGCCAGCCGGCAGCCGTCCGTCTCGAAGGCGCTGCGCCGCTGCGCCAGCTCGTCGGCCTGCTGCTGCAGTCCGCGCAGGTCGGGCGTCTCGTGGCGCAGGTGCTGGCACACACACACGCCGAATACCGTCAGACCGTGCGGCGGCCTCTGCGGCCGCACTCAAGCGGGCCGACAGCCCGCACCACCTGGTCGATATTACGCTGGGAACGAGCCCACAAACCTCGAAGAGACGAGAAAGAGAAACCCTGCCGCGATCGGGTAGCAAACATGGCATGATCCCTACAAACCGCGACATAATGCTTTCCGCTTGACCTGTATAGAGGCCGCCACTTAGCAGTCCATCCCATGGCTTAGTCACGGTCCGACCAGTGAGGGCTTGCGCCTGACCAGTCTGCCTTCGAAAACCACGAACCCCAGAGGGAGGTGCACTCGTGATGTCATGCATCGGCACCAATGCTGCCACCCCAGGTAGTCACTCATTTCCTTGGGTCCAACAAACCATTCGACACCCAGGGGCGTTTAGCGTCGACGCATTTCACGCTGATTTCCGCGGACGCCACAACTTTTGGTCGAAAGCCAGGTCGGAACCTACGTGACATTCCACACACGTTCGTGAAGCGAGCGCTCCGCGAAGTGACCATCTCGGTTGCCTATCCAGGGTCAAGTCCAAACGGTCCGTGGCATCATGGTCAGGAAGAAAATCTGCACTCGTCCCCAGAGTGTAACTACGTCAAAATCGTTGCACGATCATTTGGGGTCTGTTTTTTTTATAAACCTTGTAGCCTTCCAGATTTTTGACCAATCATCTCGATAACGACGTGACAGTGTGCTCGGTCCAAACAGTAGCCTAAAGTGAGTCAAGTAGTTAATTACCGTTATAGCATCAACAGATTTTCTAGAGGGCAACGCCAACGCGTCAAAGAAATAAAAATTGGCCTCGGCACTCCAATCTCGTTCCACACCTCGTCCATCTCACATCAACACAAGTACAGAAATGAAATGGGACTCTCAATTTCCAGTAACCGCCATCAGCATCAGTACTGTACTATATCCTGTCATCGCCAGCGTCGAAGCGCGGCAGATGGAGCCGGAAGGCTGCGGCCGAGCGTCTAGGGCGGCTCGCACCGGTCCGTACCTCGTTCTCGGCCTGCAGCCGGCGCAGCTCCGTCTCGTCCACCGGCTGCAGCGCGTCCAGCTCGTCGGCCAGCTGGCCGGCCTGCGCGTCGGCGTCCTGATCCTGGCCAGACAGCCAGCGGTCGTACGACTCGAACGCGTGCTGGATCACGGCGCACTCCTCGGCGTCCACCTCCGCGAAGCCTGGCCGGTGAGCGCGAGGCGGGTGAGAACGTGGCCGGCGTCAAGTGGTCCTACGGAGCTAAAACGCTTGAGGGCACGTCCACGACAATGCACAGCTCGTTATAGTCGACACCAGCCGCAGCTGACTCGCGTGTCCTTTCTAAAACGGCAAAAATATTGGTGATTCAGGAGCCAGGTTGTGCAGACTGCTAAGACCATCCGCGCCCACCCTTTCGACTGCCCACCAGACGCGGCATACAGCGGCCCGCGCCGTCGGCGAGCGGCTCCAGCGGCGGCGCGGCGGCGCGGAGGCGCACCGTTGTTGTCGACGGACGGCAGGAGCGGCAACAGCAGGTCGGTGCCGAACACCACATCCACCTGGTCGGCCAGCCACGAGAGCATGGCGATCACGGGCGGCCAGCTGTGCGCGCAGCCGATCGTCACCAGGTGGCTCTTGGTGATGAGGCCCGGGTAGCCGAGCATCTTCATCAGCGCCGGCACCTGCGCGGCGGCACACGCGCCTCCGTCACACGCCTCGCCAGGCGGCAGCACCGGCGCTCGACGGACCACCGGCGGCGCAGTGATACGCGGAGGGCGGGGCTCTATCTGTCCTAAACAAGACTTAGCTGGGACCTGTTTGGGTGGTTGGGCTTCTGGGAGCAGCGCCCACGCTAAGCAGTGCTTGCAACGTGCGCCCTGATCACCCCACGCGATCGTGAAACTCCAGGTCAGCAGCTGTGGCCGTGGTCACAGACGACAGAGCCGACAAGAATTAGCAACACCAACAGCCCGTAGCGTGTGTGAGCGTGATAAAACGCTGGACATAGGACGCCGCCCCGGATGTCGCGACTGGCAGTACGAATATGAAGTCACCGGTCACGCGATGGATGGAATCAAGACGCCGGCGAGTGAGCTGATGGACATGACCACGACCATCGACGATCTGTCGCCGACGCCGACTCAGGCCACTCACCTCCTCCTCGCGCTTTTTGCCGTCCATGGTGAAGAGCGGGCTGAAGAATCCGTACATGAAGGTGAACACGTCGTCGAAGTCGCGACCGGTGCCCTTGACCAGGTCCTTGTAGGTGGCCGGCGGGCGGCCCTCGTTGTAGCCCTGGCCGTTGCGCGTGCGCTCATTGAGAAACTGGACGACGCGGTGCGTGGCCGCCTGCCAGAAGTTCTTGTCCGAGATTGGACGCGAGTCGGGACAGCGGGCGCGCGCCGCGCCGACGCCCGAGCCGCGGCTCAGGCGGCGCGCCGAGTCGACGCTCAGTCGGCCGCCGACGGCCGCCTTGCTGGCCGTGGCCCAGCCGGTCTGACGGCGCGCTGTCTGCGGAGTGACGGCGCTCAGCCGCGGCCCCATCGTCAGCCGAGAGGTGGTGGAGGCGCCTGCGGCACGGCCGGCCGCGGTGAGGGCGTACAGAGGCACGGCGGGCCGCGGTGAGGGCATACAGGGGCACGGCGGGCAGCAATGGGGGCATATGGGGGCACGGCGGGCAGTGATGGGGGCATACAGGGACACGGCAGGCAGTGATGGGGGCATACAGGGGCACGGCGGGCAGCGATGGGGGCATACAGGGACACGGCGGGCCGCGATGGGGACATACAGGGGCACGGTGGGCAGCGATGAGGGCACTGGGGTAGGGCCCCTCAAAGTGAGGGCATGATAGGAAGAACGGACCACGGTGAGAACACTGGGGCGAGACGGGCCAACGTGAAGGCACCTTATGGCGCAGCGGAGTACAGGTCACGGCACGCTGGGACGGGTAGTGAGCACTTGGTGGGAGTGCAAAATATCACCTCACATGACGTGGAATCATCAGTGGTACATCAGAATCACAAGGACGAATCGTTAGGGTCCTAGCACACAGACGGGTTTCCAACTTTCAGACGTCGGCAATCACGATTACAGAAAGCTGTGACAATGCTTCATGTCCCAACACATGTAACTTGCTCAGTGACCTCTCAGGTGCTGCACTCCCCCCGTCGCTGTCTCGCCACAAGAAAGGTGAACAAAAGAAAGTTGAGCACAGGGAACAGAACTTCCGCCGGCAAACAAGGTCAGGGCCGTACACTGACGTCCCAGCCCGACCCGGACCGGCGTGAGCTGCGTGCCGGCCGCAGTGCGAGGCTGCGCTGGCCGACGCACCTGCGGTGGAGCGGCCGCGCTTGACGGCGCTGTGGGCCGAGCGCTGCGCCGTCATGGAGGGGCGCGGCAGGCGGCTCTTACGTGCCGACGCCGCGGCGCCGCTCTCCAAGCCGGTCACGCGGCCCGGCACGGCCAGCGTCGCCTTCACGGCCGACTCGGTGACGCGCTTGGGCGCCAGCGTCGACGAGCGGCGCCGGTTGTCGGACGAGCGGCGCAGCATCTGTGGAGCGGGCCTGTGTCAGGGCGAAGCCGGGTCGGACGGCGCTGGAGGCTGGTTGGCACCAGAGGAACGTGCCGGTGTCAGGGCGAGGCCGGGTCGGACGGGCGCTGGAGGCTGGTTGGCACCAGAGGAACGTGCCGGTGTTAGGGCGAGGCCGGGCCGGACGGGTGCTGGAGGCCGGTCGGCACCAGAGGAACGTGCCGGTGTCAGGGCGAGGCCGGGCCGGACGGGTGCTGGAGGCTGGTTGGCACCAGAGGAACGTGCCGGTGTCAGGGCGAGGCCGGGTCGGACGGGCGCTGGAGGCTGGTTGGCACCAGAGGAACGTGCCGGTGTCAGGGCGAGGCCGGGCCGGACGGGTGCTGGAGGCCGGTCGGCACCAGAGGAGCGGGCGAAGAGAGGAGTTGGGAGAACGAGGTGAAACGTCATTTTTAGCGAGACTGATCAGCATCTACAGATGACACTACTCGCTGAACGAGGCAGATGCCAGTCTGTTGTGGAGGAATGCTGGATCAGCATCTGAATCGAGGAAGGGAAGGATGAACAAAAGATGGAGCTGAATCCAGTTATGGTCCCATGGACATTTGGATATCATCATTTACCAACTCAGTTGCTAATGCGCCAACCCTATGACATTCATGCAATTTAGCAATGTCTAACTGATGAAAGTGGCCAGGCCATATTTGGGCAAGAGGAGCCTGAGCCTGCCACACATTTTCATTTCAAGGTTGTTAACTTATGGCCAGCATCTGATGCCACACACTCTTATCCTGAACACATTAGAAAACACACCTCACGGCCCATTACAGGCCAGCCTACCACCACCACTGATGTGATGGCCCACTACTAGCCAGCCCACAACCACCATTTATGACTAGCACTGAAGCTACTCAACACCCCAATAACATGTGGCAAGAAATCAGGTCTAAATAAAATGTAACTACCAAAGCTGAGACAGATGTAAGCAGCCATAGACCAACATCCCCTCAATGAGCCCTTCACCCCCCCTAATCATCAGCAAATTGGGCCAACCCAGGCCGACAGGGTGCACACACACCTGACACCTTGGGAGGGTGCAGATGTGCCGGACATCCATGAGGCTAACTTAAAGTCTGTCTGTGTACCCACAGGTTATAACACAGGACATCCATGCATGATATGCACCTGTTGCATGAATATATTTCAAATCATAACCTCATAGCACATGAACTCCCTCTATTCCAGCTTATTAAGGTCTGCTAACATCAAGGATGGGCCAAAATAAGCTGCACAAATCCCCTGTGGTATCATGAGCTGTAGAGCAGTATCCAGGCCATGCAAGTGTGCCAAGAGCCACAGGATGCACCCATCTCACACAGACTGGGCCCACATAGTGTGGCTCTGACTCAGTCCACCCCAGGTGCAATCTCTTACCATGAGGGGGTAAACCCATGCATGCATTTGCTGGCCATGGCATTGGCTACTCTTAATCAATCTGAGAGGTGTACAGCTGACAATCTTGTTGCTGACAATGAACAGATGAATCAACCATTTTGATGGGGTCCAAGAGCTTCAGGCTCAATGTGATGTGTTCTCATTCTATGCTGCCTTATACAGTCAATCCTGGTTACCTACTCTATTCCATAGATGACTGGTACTTGTTCAACACTTGCTGTAGCATAACTGTTTAAGACATTTTGTGAGGAAATCAACCCTGACACAGACATACTGCCACTCAAATTCTTTAGACTTGGATACCATATTTCAAATGAACATTTCATGTTCTCAACACCAATGGTGTGGCAAAAAGTACTTATATGTGGGCCTTAACAACAAAGGCACTATGTTGTAGAAAACCTGTTTGGACAGGTTGCACTGTGCCATACTTTCTCCACCTGTTATGGGCAAATAGGGAGCTCTTAGTGAATCAAACCTATGCACCAGCAGTGGGTGTATTGGAAGGCAGGTGCTACAGCCAGCTGAGCCCAGTTTTTCATAGAATATCAACATAACTTTTGCTTCAAAATAATCAAATTTGTACTCATGGGGATGGCTCTTTTAACATGGGGCTCAGTCTAGAATGTTGCATTTCATGGAGCACTGGCTTTCCATAAGCTGGAATCAGAGGTGGCTGTCCCCCACCCCTGAAATTCAGGCAAATCTGATTTTCAGTGTGTGCACATCAGACTTGTTCAACATAAATATACCACTTTGCCAGACATGTTAGGGCACACATATTCGTCTGAAGTCTGGCCTATCGTAAATCAAAAGTGGCACTCATTGGTGCCCAGGCCTGATTTATATTTCTTTATTCACGTTTACGCCTTAACTACGTTGAAAATCAACATCTCAGGCAACTGCCCTATTCCAACGCCCATCTTAGGTCGTATTTTACACACGCAACTATCCATTTCACACAAAGCAAAACAAAACACGATGAATTTGTTGAGCGAGCGCGATTCATAATAACCTTATTTGTTCGCAATGTCGTCCGGAGTGCTCGGACCACCGCCGGAACC